AGTTGAATGTCGGGCGCTAATTCTCTTATCCATCACATCAGCTAAGAGTGCTTTATTTTAAAGACAGAATCGAAAACATTTATATGGCAGGCATAGAGTGTATAATCCCACAGGGCGGTGCTCATTTATCAATTTCAGAAGGAAGAAAGGCGAATTACCTGTCCAGGACTTGTATCCAAGACAGCTTGGTTCTGACCCGACCGTCTATCGACTGAATGACCCAGGTCTGTGGAGTCAATCTTGATCTAATGCTGTGACAAGCTGGCGTTTCTCGATTTTTACGGAGACTGAAGTCAAAGCCCAAACCTTGACTTCATCCAGCGGTTTTAGTTTCTACTTGTTCAGCCGGCTTTTAGTAATTCGTCTGACATAGCCCTTTTCTTTTCCACACGGTCCAGCGCTACGTCATTCATCAGTGGTAACAATTTGGTCTTTGTAACTCCTACACTGTCGGTTCCGAAATCATTCCGTCGGTCGACCTCATTGCTTCTCTAGGTTTCTATATAGCTGGCCATCCGTTGACGCTACCCGAGACAGGGAACGGCTTACAATGTTTTCGATACAGTTTCTTCATGAGGTCACCGAAGGACATTTCCATGCCAGCATCGTTAGATTTCTTGGACGAGTAACGTAACATTGCATCGGCTGTGGATTAGTGATTTTGGCATCTTACTGAGGGGGCACATTCGCAACGAGCTGCGCAGGCACCAATGGCCACCCACTTTGGGTTTCTTTAACAGTCGCATGTATATAACAAACAAAATCGATCTGAAAATTGCTTGCAGGATGCAGACTCTCGTTCTGAGGCTGATTTGCAGACGCCTACAAAGTCGCGTGCGGATTTGATTGATTCTCATCTCACGGCAGTACACGCTCCATTTGGTGGGATCAGCTTAGCTTAGCGCTAACCTACTTTCTAATTATCTTTTATGTGTAAGAACGCTCAAGAAATAATATGTAATTGTATTTGTGTTAATAGGAATTCTTCTGATCCGCGATTAGAAGAAACGATTCACGGTGAGACTAAATGACGAAGGTTGTTTGTGAGCGATAGCGTTTTCTCTAAAGTGCAGGGTTTTCGGTTAGAAATGAAGATCAGGATATGAAGTTGTCTTATTCATTAAATTCTAACCGGACCAAATCACGGTATTGCCATTTTAGGGTGATTGCGTTCAAGCAGTAACAGCTGCAGTGCAACTTAACACTTAGCACTGTAGCAACTTGGTCATATTTTTGTATGAAGGACATATTAATTGCCATTAAACGCGCCTAGGTGATTATGAACATTGATGTATTGCTGTAAAGTTAGCCGAACGTTTGCTTAAGTTGGGGATTTCAGCTACGTGAAGTTTGTTATTCGCAAATATGAAGCACTGAGTTGTTAAAATGTATGCTAAAGTATGCTAAAATGCGCAACGAGTCGATGATATGCGATGATGTGGTCGTTCAGCGGTTCAGCGTCAGTATGAGACGGTTGACTCACCTGATAATCGTTTACCAAGTGATAGCTACATGCGGTGTAAAGCGTGAAGAATTTTGCAGTAACTGTATACAAAACCTTGAATTAAAGTTAACTGTCGTATCATGAACATATTTTGCATTGAGCACATTTTTACACGATGATGAAGAGGTTGTTCAAATTTTGTTTTATGTGCAGATATAAATGAATGTACATCGGATAACGGTGGTTGCCAGCAGCTGTGCATCAACGTTCCGGGCTCGTATCGTTGTGACTGTTTCCTTGGCTATTCGCTGGGAGCTGATAGAAAATCATGCTCAGGTATTTCTTGTGCTTTCTTTTGTTTTCTTCTGATCTTCCAAACCAACTAGTTATTGATTGGTTCCGAGACGTTAATGAAAACTTTTGTCTTAACTGTAGCACAGTATGTGCTGGGCACGAACATCGACGAAAATGGAACGCACGCGAAATACGCCATTAAATTGCTGACCAACAAAACGGAATATCACGTCGAATTGCCGCAGAACGTTGCTGCAACGCATCCGAATATGTATTATTATGGCTACGGCTTTAAAGAAGGTAAAACGATTCGATTGCACATATCGATTCATGCGCGTCATGTGATTTATGTCAGAAAGTTTGCTCATGATCATTGCTTGAAAGATATGGTGCTGTTTCGCATGTTCAACTAATAGTAAAACACATAAATGTAGTCTGTCGTATTTAGATTGCTCTGTTGGCTCGTTCGGCCTGCGATGCAGTTACTCATGCAAAGACTGTACGAACGGTGGAAGGTGCAATCGCCGTCAGAACGGATGCGACTGCCGCGCCGGCTGGACGGGAGTCATTTGCAACGAACCGTGTCCTGAGGTACGAACATCGATGTCATTGTTACGAAAGTGCCGTGTCGTTACACCTGTCCAATTCAGGGCTTCTGGGGAATCGGCTGTAACAGCTTATGCAGTTGCAACAACGGTCGGCTGTGCGACCCCGTTACGGGAGAATGTCGTTGTCTTCACGGCTATGGTGGTGAAGACTGCGACTCCGGTTGCCCAGCAGGTATTTTCAGAATTAGCTGGTTTCACAAGTCATAGTGTTTGTTTTTGGTCAAAATGAGTTGCTTACTTATATGCTAGGTATAGATACTTTCTGGAACAACTTGGTCGAAAGTCATCGAACACACGGCTGTAAAAATTCCTTGAAAAATTAGGATCTTTCAGTACCTGACTCAGCGAAGAGGATGGCAAACTGCTAGTCCTGTCGTTCAGCGTTTTTCAAATGAGATTGACTAGTCTAATCAGTAATTAATTTTGAATGTTTTTTTTTTGGGTTACACTTTATGCAGATTGTCACACTTGATATTCACCTATCAACCTGTGGGCTTCGGCATATGTTTTGGGGCTGCGGTGGTGGAAGGTTCTTTAAGCAATCTTATCAGGAGGCAGAGTCGTGGCTGTAAAGTTCCTCAGTTTGCTCATTCAATATTGTCGTGTGCTTCGCTCTCTGCGAAGAGATCTGCTTTTTGTCATTCTAGCAATGAGGTATTGATCTATTTAAAGTCTACTAGGCCTGAAACAGGCATCTCACAACGTAGTAAACGTGGTTCATTTAGATGCTCAAAGATAGCCATGCACAGTCTGACCGGATGGAGATGTCCAAGGCTCTCAGTTTTGTTCTTGGGACGATTGAAAGCTTTAATTGCATAAAAAAGGTTAAGAGAAACGTTGAACCGGCGATTATGAACGTGATAAGTGACAGACCGGTATCAAACAGAAAAGAATCTGAAATTAATGACCTTCAGGGACGTAGAGCAACCTTTTGCGCCAGACTTAACGCCCCACTGGAGTAATGAGGTGGAATACGCCATGAAATCAGATCTTGAATAAGCTACGTGTAACGTAGTGCCGAGTATCAACCTCTAATTGACGGTGCTGCAGTGGTGTATAAAGAATGCCGCATCCTGAAACATCGTTGGTGATGAGCAAAAGGTTGCTCAAGGATTAAAGGGATCCGTTAAATTATGAATTCATATGCCTGAGTATATTAACCAACGCTTAACTCCTGCGGAACCGAATATTAGAGCATTTTTACTGTTAATTGTTTACTAGGTAATTTGGGCAAGCACTGTCATTTGGGCATGTGCAATTTTAAATGTACCATCCAATTTTTTGCAATGCACTGCTCATTGTCAGAGTTTCAAGAGCCTTTACTCTACTTTTGTTTTCGCACAGCATCAAAACTCATAGGTTCATACCCCAGAATGTTCTGATATAACGTTTTCTCCCATATCGAATCTGGTGGCGTGCTGCACCACCCGTGCTGTTAAGTGTGTTTGCTGTTGGTGTTCAAATGTCATGGCTTAATGGCCTGAATAAATAACCCATTGGGCAGTTTGAAGCAAGGGGATGATACAGTGGGCAATGTAATCTAGTGACTGTATTGGTTTAGTTTATTTGTTCATTGCCACTTTTGCTGAAGATAAGCCAAGAGGATTGCATAATGTGCCGATGTTTTATGAATGTTGCACATTTTACTTATATGGACAGTTTAGCTCGGTTATTCTGAGTGAATGTATGATATTAACTATTGCACTATGCCTTTTAACTAGTGCACTGCTTAATGTTAGTTAAAATTGATTTGTGTATCTGTTTCGTTTAGGTTACTATGGACCGAGATGTGACTTGCGTTGTAGGATGAATTGTCCCGATAATGTCTGCGATCGAACTTATGGCTACTGTCTGTGCCCAGAGGGCAAATTTGGGCAATACTGTGAGGAGTCATGCTCGCCGTTTACCTACGGAAAGAACTGTCGTCACACTTGTCAGTGCCAT